AGTTACTTGCTGTCAAGGAAACGCAGAGGCGGAGAGAAGTGTCCTTGTGCGAACAGAACACTCAGAAACCTAACCTCACTTATTTAGCATTTGTTGCAGTCGGCACATGCCGTAAGGAAAATAATGTTTCCTCGAAACTGCACTGGCCGGTCACGGTAGCCGAGCGGTCTAAGGCATGTACTGTCTTCGCTCTCTTGGAAACCGGGATCGTGGGTTCGAATCTCACTCAGGGCATGGATGTTTAGTTTGTGTGTGTGCTTTTTTCTGTGTTTGTATACAGGTAGAGGCCTTGCGACGAGCTGATCACCCACCCAAGGAATGTGTAAGATCTAGAAAGACCGAAGCGAACGGAGAAGTTCATGGAGGTAGGCCTAGGCCCACTGGGGCTGTAGTGCCAAAGGGGGGGGGGAGGACTGCACTGGAATCACATTTAGAGCCGAGAGGAGGCCGGAAATAATTGCATAAGGAGCAGCTTCATAATTTACATTCCTTACCAGATATTACGGAGCCAATATAACTCGGCCAGTATAGCGACGAGCTGGACGGCCGGAGTTCAGTTCCTGGCAAGGGAAAGAAATTTATGCATTTACTGTAGAAGGGGTGAGGGAACAGGCAATAGAAGTAGATATCATGAAAAGAGTTAATTAAAACCAAACATAAATGAGAGCGCTTTTTAAAATACAGGTCGGAAAATGGTTTTAGATTTGATTCAGACAGATCATGACAGGATCCAGCGGGAGCCAGTTTTTGGTAGCAGTTAGCTTTTCCATCTGTCTTTATCGGAGAAGTAATGATATGTATTTAATATATTTTATGAACTAAAAGTTATATATAATTTGTAATATGAAAATATGACCATTTCTCTTTTACTACGCTTCTCGACATAGAATGGCAGAAATAAGCTGGAGCCCATAGTCAGCAGAAGAAATTCTGCAGCATTTGTTGTTGTCAGTGCAACTTTAAGTTATACTAACAGGTCCCATTGTCTCCTTGCTGAACGCATAAGTAGAGTGGGGGTTGGTTTATTGAAAGTGAAGAGAATTTGGCGTAACAAGTCGAAAACTTATGGCTAATATAAATAAAGTGCTTTATTAAACAAAGTGATTTTGGTGTTCACTGTTGCTTTCTTCGTATATCAACTTAATATAACAGTCTAAGAAATATACCTTATATTCTCTTAATAAGCTATTCCGTTTAGACTACAAGTTTCGTCAGAATTTTCCCAGCTACCAGGGTTTTGTTTAAGTACACTTACTGTCTAAATTCTACCTTACGTAAATATAATAAAATTAAAATAAATATGATCACACAGCTTTAGTCGGATATGCTATATGATTCTTAATGATAGAAACATGACAAATTACAATTAATAAATTAATGTTAAAATTCTTCTGGTTGCTATAACTCCTTAATAGCAATTTGATTTTCTTACCATTTATGAAACACTGACAGAATTACGAGACCTCTTCAGTTTGCATCATAATTATTTATATTCATGTAACGTAAAACATATAGAATGTTTACGTAAGTGTTTTATTAAGGGATTCTATGTAAGTTGTATTAGATTGTTTTATAACCCTTGTTATACGAATGTGAGATAAAACGATATTAAATTAACTTTCTTATCTGAAGAATACAAGAGAAATTTATGGGAAAATTGACAAACTCTGTGTCTCGAATCAAGTTGATGACAAATTGGGCGCCGGTTTAGAAGTTTAAATATGTTGCTTATTTCTGTCATCCTATACTGCACTATTACTCCGTATCAATAGAGCATTCGGCAGGAAGTGTTTTCTGTTTAATGGAGGAATTCTGACGCAGTTGATGTTATTACAGTGTGGCACGTACAGATATCGATTAGAGCACATGGGATATTTCTTTTTAGGGAATAAATGTCGTACAGTATCTGACACGGCACTTTGTTTATATCGATTAAAGCGCTTGAAGTCAAAGAAGGAGGTGCTGTCTGCTTCATGCAACAATATTTACAAAGACAGTGATAACAATAAGCAGATTGCTGTAACTATTGAAATAACTTAATAATTTCCGTAACCCCTTTATTGTGACTTGTTAAGTTTCAAACCAAGCAACAAATTAGCTATGAACAGCATTTACGTGTATGTTCCTCAGTTATGTCATCTCTGCGGAAATGGCTTCTGCCACATCAGACTCAAGCAAAACTGTTTCTACTCGTATTTTTATATGTAGACTAATTCCTAGGCAGCGACTCCGTAAACGCATTCCCGCGTTGACGAATACGAAGGCGAGAATCGGATAACTCCCGTTATCTAAGCAATGACGCCTTAAGTACAGCATTAGAGGAAGCGATGTTTTCTGTATGTCCGCTTAAAGACTATAAGTAGTACAGAACAGACTCAAATGAGAACGAGAAGGTGGCGAGACCTCGGCAGTCAAGGAAGAAAGGTTCGGCTGAAGATTTATTGCGAATTATTGTAATTTATTGTGATTCCGAGTAAGAAGCTATTAATAAATCCAGTAATCCAGTTCAAAAACCTTTATTATTTGTCACTCAGCCATAAACATGTGACACTCTTTTGTGCGACTGTTGCATCTAATATTTCTATTTTCACACATTCTCCTTTCAATGTAATACATTTGTATCATACCTGATAATCAACGCGTACTAATTATTGAAAACCGCGTCACTTTATTAATTCAGGGGTAAAGAAGGGAGATCCTCTCTTCCAGAATGAAGTGTACGGGCAGCGGATTCGTCCTGACGGAGAGTTTAACATGCGTCTTCTTGTAAGAGGAACACGATGCTGGTTCCCATGTGAGATCTATGTAAGGGAAGCATTTCACACCTCTTGTGGTTGTTCAAACGTCAGGGGTCGGCGGATTCGAGGGTCTATGTAAATACTGGGAGGCCTACATGAAGCTGTTCTCTTGGGGTGGGGTGAGACTGAGTCCATTGATGCGATGGCTACTACTGAGCCCTTGTACCAGCCACGGACGACAGCGACGATGACAGGTGACCGTGGGGCCATTCAAGGAATGAATTGAAGGAAAATCTAAGCACTCTGAGAGAACCGATCCCTGCCCAATTTTTATACCCAGAATTCCACATGGCCTGGCATGGGATGGAATTCAGTTGCCGGAGACTAACAGCCTGAGTTGGCCATGCCATAGCTCAGGCGGTTAGTCGCCGGCTTCCAACCGCGGCGGCTCCGGTTCAAGCCCAGGTCTTATGGGATTTGTGGTGGACAAGGTGACACTGGGTCAGGTTTTCTCCTAGTAATTCAGTTTCCCCTGCCAATTCTCATTCCACCGACTGCTTCACACTCATCATAAATTACCCGGGGCTGGTAAAATAGGCCAATTAGTGGCCGACGTACCCACTCTCACCCCACATCCCAAGCAACTAAACTGATTGCCTGAGTAATGTGACGGTCGCACGAGGATCTTACTTGCAATGTTAAACAGAGGTAAATGCTACTTCATTCCTCGGGCCGCGCCATCGCTCAAGCGGTTAGTCGCTGGGTTCCCATCGCGGCGGCCCAGGTTCGATCCCGGATCTTGTCAAGTGGGATTTGTGGAGGACAAAGTGGCGCTGGGGCAGGTTTTCTCCGAGTACTTCGGTTTCCCCTGCCAATCTTCATTCCACCAATTGTTCCACAATCACCCTCACCTATCATCTGGGGCTGGTACAATAGGCCAGAAGTGGCCGCAGTACAAGGGACTTAGTCCCACCCCACTAGCAATAAAAAGAAATAATAATACTTTATTCCTCGACATCTCTAATATTAAATGGAAATTCCTTCACACGGCCTAGATTTGAGATAAAGTGAAGAAAATCAAAATGCAGCCTCTATAAGATTATTGGAGTTTTTAATTGAAATGGATTGTGAAAAATAAATTTAAATAATTTTGAGTATTCTTCCATGAGATCGGACAAGTGGTTAGCGCGTTTAATTTACGTTTGAGTACTTCGGGTTCGTTTCCATGGGATGTTGAAGTAAGCTTCCTGGATGTGACCATTAAGCAAACTTACGCTTTGTGGATTAGTCTTATTTGGCCTAAGGAGCATCAGACTCCTCCATCTGAGTGTGAGCTTGCCGTGTTTAAATAGTTCTTACGGGTTTCTCCTGACGTCAATAGCCTAGATTCTAACGCATATTTATAAAACCATGAAATGCACATGAACAAAGGAATAAAAAAATACATTTGCTGGAATTTGATAGACATACCAACACTTCTGTGTGGGCTCGAAGTTCGGACCCTAATGAAAAAAATACACGAGAAGAGTGGAGCCAGTAGAAATGTTTTTCCACTAACATGTCTCATGAGAAGTACTGAGTTACGTAACGAAAAGAATGTCTAAGATGCTCTATGAATATACATAAATCGAAAAACTGACGGCTCTGCTAGTGCCAGACAGAAGTAATGAAGCAACAGTTTGAGGTCTTGTGGCCAGAACAGATAGATCAGGGTTGTGGTTGTTGTTGTTGTTGTTGTTGTTGTTGTTGTTGTTGTTGTTGGTGGTGGTGGTGGTGGTGGTGGTGGTGGTGGTGGTGATCACTTCGTCTTCTCAAAAGCGAATGCGGAGCTAAAGTTGTCCATGTCCATGAGGAGAGTGGGGTGTACAGCTCCAACATTCTTGACCTGGGCACTAGATGGAGGTGAGTGGTCAGTTTCACGCCCTGGCAGCTTTAGCTCCAGGGAAAGGGTTCCTGGTACCCATTAGAGGAGGTTGGGTGGGTTCGAATGCCGATCTGGACGCTGTGGAGAAGAGAACAATCTTGCTTCTGCCTTGAATCGAACCCCGGACGTCCAGCTGGTAGCCTGTCCCTATACCGACTGAGCTATCGAATATTGTTCACTAATTAATCAAAGAGCATTAAGAAGACTTTCCAGAATAATATATCTCGTTTCTACGATGCTCAATCTCCATAATGATGAGACCAGTTTCCGTTTGCCTCAGGTCTGTATTCTGCAAGATAATCTGCAGTATGGAGGCCTACAAAATATTTCTGTTACAGACTGGATACCGTGCAATTGGTCAGCTACAGACGGATCTGGCCACCACCGCTAGTTCGCGTGTTGAGGGGGACCGCTCCCGGGGCCCCTCACCTGGCCGTAGTGTAAGGAAGCGTATTGAAGGCGGTTCGAACCTCTTCGACAAGATGAACGAGAGGTAAGTAGCTAGCAACTTCATTTATATTCGGGGTTGACTGTTGCAAATTCGCCTGGGACACCGCCTCTTCTGGCTGAAGTTATTCGTGGATTTATTTTGCTCCACCCAGGCCAATCGGCCTTCTTCATTTACGCCCTGGCCACTTCCCTGCGCTGCTCATGCCACCACCCGACGCTATGTAGCCTGGTATACTCACAGCGTCATAAAATAAACAATTACTGAATAAAGAAATGGACAAGCTGCGGCATCTCTGTTGAAACCTCTCAGTAAGAGGCACGTACACATAGAGAACGCAGGTGAGTTTAGGCATGTAAAGTGAGGAACAATTAATTTAATGGCACAGAGCTTCACGCCATTGCTGTTAGGTTTCTTCTTATTGCTAGTGGGGTGGGACTAAGTCCCCCGAAGGGCCGCGCCATAGCGCGCCGGGCCGCCGCGGTGGGAAGACAGCGACTAACCGCTTGAGCTATGGCGCGGCCCCTTGTTGTTAGGTTACTGTAGAAGTAGGAATAAACTCGATTACATTAAAATTGGAAACTTAACGTAATCAGGAAGTGATTTACTCTGAAACTGAGGTAGCCATTTTAATATACTGGTCAACATTGAAATTTTGCATGAGAGTTGGCGGACGGAAAGAAAGAGTCATACTCAGAGAACTATGTAGATAATTGTAGCTACCTCGACACGTGTGCGTTCATATTCCCCAATCCAAAAAGAACAAAAGTATTTAAATGTATTATTAATTTTACAAATTAAAATCACAAACATTTTGTTGGTCATTAATTTATTTTGTTAGCAAGTAATGGACATTTCTTCAAATATTTAAACCAGTAACAGAGTTCTGCCCTTAGTTTATATTTCGTAATATCTTGAATGCTTTCTATAGTATATTTACATCATTATCGTTAAATACAACTGCCATAGCTGATGTTATAAAACTTCAATTTATTCGCTTCAAACCCCCCCCCCCCGCAACATGTGTTCCCTACAGGCATCTTCAGAAGTTCATGCAGCAACTTTTCTTAACATAAAGTCAGTAAGCCTGTGTATCATCACATGCAAAAGGGTTTCTTGGCAGTCGGCATAGAAGTTAACGTTGACAGTGCAACAGTACAGACAATATCTGATTTCGGATACTTGTTTACAATAATCAAATTATTATTTATACCTCCAAAAAAGCGGCCTCCGTAGTCTAGAGGTAACGTTCCCACCTCATGACTCGTATAGTACGCGGGTTCAAATACCCGGCGGAGGTCGTCGAATTTTTAAGGGCGGAAAAATTCAGGGAACAAGTCCTCCGGGAGGGACTTTAAGCCGTGGGTCCCGTGTCGTAGCTTTACGGCACGTGAAAGAACCTCATATCTCCAAAGGAGGTCACTGAGCCAAATTAACGCACGTTTCCCGCCCAACAGCAGTCTCTAATACCTCTGGTAGATGGGGAAAGCATTATAGATACCTCTCAGCTAGTAGAGCCGGTCTCGCTGGCTGGGCAGGACTGATGGTAAGCACCAGTACCGGTAGGATATAGAGACTGGTAGAAATCATAGAGGGAAGCACAATGGACCAATACAGGTCTCAGTGCATGGGGAAACCCACCCTCTCCAATAACTAACTAACGAACTAACTAACTAACTAACTATACCTCCAAAACCAAACATGACATATTTATATGGCAGATATCATTTTATATACCTTCCTTAAGTATTAAAATAACATTAACCTCAGCAGTAAATGGAGTTCAGTGGACAGCTCCACGCTCCGGCCATTTTACTCCGACGGAGCCACTGAATAGAGGCCTAGGATACCGCCTGGGTGCAATGGCAAAGAGAAACCCATGTCCGTGACGGAAAACAAACCCCAGCTCTATAAATCACAAGAAATCAGAAGCCATGCTGACTGAGCTGTCCCCGACTGCTTTAGATGTGAGAATACCTTCTGAAGTGAGACATAAGCGATATATTTACGGTGACATTTGAGGTTCTCACAGCGGTGGCAGTGAAGTATACAAGATTAATATGTTGTGCATCATATTTCGTTAAGTAAACAACATGTAGCTTAAAGATTGAAGTATACAACATATATGCTGTGACGTGTAGACCCATTGCCAAGTAACATTTGTGTAAACAAGCGACGGTACAATAGCCGTTGTTACAGAACAGCTCTGTGGGCCCGTTACTTCCTCAGCAATGAGAGAAAACGCAATAATGGAAGAGATGTTTTCTGTGTGGTCCATGCCGGGGCTATATAACTGGGTCTAGTATTGTAATCTTGGATACACCCTTGTGGAGGCGGGGTCGAATACCTCAACCGTGACCCCGCGAGTAGTAGGAGGCGGCGAAAAGGGAAGTCTCAAACCTGAAACAGTAAAATATGTTCACGAGTCCCGTGGGACTCGGACCCGAGAAAGACTGCGCTGGCAAGGGTCTGTAGCATATACAAAAAACAGACCTGCCCTCTCGTGAGAGAGGGCGCCCCACAAGAACAATACCGTAACTGTCAAACAGTAATAAATGGGGCTTGACACCAAGAGTTAGTGACTGACTGGCCGTCAGTCGCAATGTAACTTAAACTTTGACTAATCTTCGATAAGATACCATAAAAATACAATAGGCTCAATCTTGGCGGCGGTCAAGAATACGACTGTTTAAGTGACTAGACTGCCGTTGTAGCCGAAGCTACTAGAAATAGGGTATAATTTGCTGTACTGAGCCTCGACTGACAGAGGTCCTGTATATATTTTATATACATTTATTAACATGTTCAACATGTAAAATGTAAATATCCTATTATGACAAATGACTTACTGCTGCAGGCAATGACTGACAAAACACAGACCAGTCCTCTCGTTAGAGAGGGTGCCGAACATCAAGAAACCCCAAGCTGTGATAGTAATAAAACTCTAGGTTTGGCCCCCAGATGGGTGCTTGAAACCAAGACAGACTGGCCGACTGACCGTCGGTTGTAACATAACTTTGACTTTATTCAGTCGAGAAAGAGAGAGAGAGTTGCAGAAGCTGGTAGCTGAGACCAAGGACAGTTCGGGAACTTAGAGGAAGGGGAACGTCAGCAAATTGGAAGCAGCTACCAAGCAACGGCTAATGAAGGCCGAGAAGACTTTATGTGTGCTGTAGTTGCAGTGATCTTTGGAGTGTGTAACTCAGCAATACTGTCGTAGTTATTTGTAGTTGCGTTCTGTAAGTGGTGAATAAAGCTTAATGCCAGCGCAGGCAGTCACTCAGTCACGTGACAATACTGAAAGGTTTTGTCTACTTACATTTGCCCTGCAAATCCGCAAAATATTTGCTGTCCTTCGACTTAAAACACAAAGTTTTAATAGAAAGATCTGATACCTAAGCGTAACTGGATTGATAAGATTAAAATTGATTTTAAATATATGATATGTCGATTCATTTAGTTCAATGTACGGGATAGTGTATAGTGAAGAGTTGCTGCGAAGAAGGCAATAAACCTCTGGAGTCCATGCAAGCAGGACATCTTTAATCAACTGGAAGGGTGCCAGCTTCCCCAGAAGGACTCCAGTCTGTGGAATTTAGTCATTTAAGAGATTTATCTTAATTTTACCATTTCATGTACTCGTACACATATACATATCTATTGTAGAATGTACATAATCAATTCTACTTTCCTTCTTGCTTGTGTATGAGGCTTTGGAAATGATTCATATCTGAAGAAAATCCGACTTTTAATCGTGACACTCTAGTGCCCGCTATCCATGTATTTGACGTGTTTACCTTGTGTGCATTCTAAATTATACTCTCTTCTCACTCGGTATGCATATTTTCACGTGTCACAGTGAGTAAAGGCGGAATTCGGATTGGTAATTGCATTTATTAACAACCTACAGTAGTAACTACAAATAATTATTACGTTATTGCTGATTTACACAATTTGCAATCACTGCACACTAATCTTGTCAGTCTCTGTCCTTCAGTCTTTATTTTCCGTTTCCTGGTAACGGATTTATCCTGTAAAACTTTTTGACAACGCTGGATTCAGCACGACATATTCGTGGGCCTGAAGTATTCAAAATATTCTGTTTTGACCCCTTTAACGGCAACCAGAAATTTGAACAGAAACAAATTTATTTTCAGCATAATGAAGTAATTGCCTGGCCAGAGTATGTCCAGTATCTTTCAACTGTTAACGTATATGTATTTCGTCTGTCAATAATGCAACACGTTGTTGCTGAATGGTGAATATTTTACTGATTGTTGCAACACGTTGGTGTTGAATGGTGAATATTTTACTGATTGTTGCAACACGTTGGTGTTGAATGTTGTATATTTTAATGATTTTTGCAACACGTTGGTGTTGAATGGTGAATATTTTACTGATTGTTGCAACACGTTGGTGTTGAATGGTGAATATTTTATCGATTGTGGCAACACGTTGGTGTTGAATGGTGTATATTTTAATGATTTTTGCAACACGTTGGTGTTGAACGGTGTATATTTTAATGATTTTTGCAACACGTTGGTGTTGAATGGTGAATATTTTATTGATTGTTTCAACACGTTGGTGTTGAATGGTGAATATTTTATCGATTGTTGCAACACGTTGGTATTTAACGGTGAATATTTTAATGATTGTTGCATTATTGACGGACTAAATACATAGACGTTAATTAAAGATGTGCAAGAGGATGCTGAAATACAGAATCTTTCAACTGATGTGCGTTCTTGCGGATTGGGCGATGAGGAGACGGTATGACCATGGGAGGGAAGGGGCAACGGTAGAGTGAACAGAGGTGCATAATGGGGGCTAAATAATCTCTGCTTCTCACCAGATGCCATTAGGACCATCAAATTAGGGAGGCTGAGATGGGTCGAACATGTATAAATGTGAAAATTTATAAGGGATTTCACCGTACGGAATGTTAGTTAGAAAACCTGAAAGTAAAATACGTACGATTTGGTAGAGCTGGGTGTAGGTGGAACCCTAATGAAGTAAGATTTGTAGTTGTGAACGGGATTCATATA